AACTCTCTATGATTTTTTTTACCTGCGTTGTGAGCTTTCAAAGTCAGGGGCCTGTTCTTTTTGAGCCGATAGTAGGTAGATTCTTCAACCCAAGGTACATCTTGGGGGAAGATGAAGCTTGAACAGAGATTTAATTATTTCGGTATATTTTCCTATTGGATAAGAGGGTCAGCGAGCGTACTGGCTCTTCATTGACACGATTTCTCCCTAGTTATATATTGCGAAATCGTCCCCACTAGAGTGCACAATCTACGTAATCGTTCAATATGAAAATCGGGAAGTAAATTCATGACTAGCTTTGGGAATAATTAAATCTAGTAAAGCGTAACTCGTTAGTAAAATTAAGTAACGTAACGTAATGTAAAACTCGGTAAATATGTAAAAGTGAAACGTTCAATAGAGTAACGGTAAACTAAAATGAGTCACTATTCTCGGTTGTTAAACTAGCGAACGATATTTTATTATTAGTATTTCTACGATTTATTTTGTTAATCTAAATTTATTTTGTTTAAGATATTTTGTTATTCTTTTATTTGTTACTAAAATATACTTTCTTACGAAGGTTTAATTTATGCCTTATTAAAGACTACACCTTACTCTAAATCATAGTATATAACAGTCCTTAACTTAAATACTGTTTTGATAAATTTTTTAAGACTAGTTTGCTAAATTTAGCTAAACTAAGTACCCGGACTCCATCCGGCGAGCTATTCTTTTGGCAATTAAAAAACACGATCATTACAAGGTAGTTATGAAGAAAAATGATAATTATCAAAAACCAATTTTTTGTTTATAAATTTGAATACAAAACACAATTCTCCTGATTCGATATTTTTCCGAGAATATTTCCTTCATGAAATAATGTTTAAAAATTCTAGATATTTACAATAATTAAAATTTTAAAATTGTTTTTATAAGTTTTTTGCAAAAAATACTATTTTTTGCATAATTAGAATATACAACGAAATTCTTCTGATTTTAATTTGTTCCAACTTTTAAAATACTATTTAGCATGAAATTGTTGGTATAATCAATTATAAACATCTCTATTGTATTCCGCGGTTTTCTTATCATATTGATGGTGTTATGATCTATCTGTTACCCCCTCTTTTCTCTCTAAAATCGACGCTCTAAATTCACTTGCATTTTAACCACGCCATGAGCTGTACTAAAATAAATTCAGTTATTCTTCTGATTCGAATATGTTCACAAAATTAAAATAAAAAAATTTTGCATGAAAAAAGGTGGAAAACTTTTTGTGTAAAATTAAAATACAAAACGCATTTCTCACAATTCGAATTTTTTTTACAAAATTAAAATATTAAGATTTATATTTTAGAATTGAAAAAAATGGAAATGAAAAAAGTGACAGTTTTTTGTGTGCCATTTTTTACAGAAATTTAAATTTAAAATAAAAATTATAGAAAATTATAATACTGAAATTGAAAGTTTAATATTAAAGAAAATTGAGAATTAAAGACAAAGCGATAGATTTTTCCTGTGAATTTGAATATATGAATCTCAATTCTCCTGATTCCAATTATTTCCACACAATTAAAATACTTAAATTTTTCATTTTAGAACAGAAAGCAAAAAACGAAAATGGAAAAACTAACAGATTTCTTCTGTACATTGGAATATAAAACGCAATTTTCCTGATTCGTGATTTTTCCGAGAATATTTCCTTTGTGAAATATTTTTCGAAAATGCAGTTAAAATAACCACAAATTCTGATAGCGATTCTTGGTATACTTAACTTTTCTTTAAAGAAAAAAATCCCCCATTCGATATTTTTTCTAAAGTCTCTTTTCTAATTCGAATTTCGTCTTTTTCTACAATTTTTTGAATACAAAAATTTTGATATAAAAGGACAAAAAAAAATAAAAAAAAAATTCAAAAAATATTCTTTGGATTTTTTTTGAGAAGAAGAAAAACAAAACAAATTTTTCGAGATTATTCTATAGTTTATTAATAATAATATTTACAGTACACGAATTATACAGCCATTATTGTTATTTACACAAAAGTTCGTGTAAAAATACAGGGATTTTTTTAATAATTTGTTTATTTAGTTCGACATACGGCGCAATTATAATGCTTCATGCACTTGAAAAACAAAAACAAGTAAAATACAATATTTCATATTTTTTGCTCAAAAAATAAAACACACTTTCGCTTTCATTCGACATTTTAAAAAGCAGGTTTGGAGAGAGAATTTTTTTTCATTCTTTTACAATATTATTGATCTGTACAATATAATCTACAAATCGTAGTGATTTATATTTGTATCTTAAATTCTTAATATATTTATATACTTTTTTTTGTAAAAATCTCAACCACTATCGTTGCTTTTTTTGCAGGCACGAAAGAGAGAAATGTAGAACTTTTTCTGATTTACTGTAACGAGTAGATGACCGAACTCTATTCCATTCTCGCATTATTTTACCCTTGCAAACGTTTCTCTTCACTATATATCACCAATTTTAGACCTACAAAAGATACTTTTATATTTTGCACGAAAAACAAATTTTTATCTCTTGAATCAAATTTTTTATCTTTGCCTTTTTTATTGAATGAAGCCGTGTAAGATAATATTCATCGATTTTCTCTACTACATTGATTTTTTTTTATTTTAATTTATTATAAGTATACGTATTTTATGTTTTTATATATTGTTTTAAAACTGCATAATTTTCAAAATTTATTATCATTGTACTTTGTCACCTTTTCGCAGAAAAAAAGCAAACGGCCGTTATTGAGATTTAAAACAAAAGCATCTAGAGATTTCTCGTTATTTTCTCTTATCATACAGCAAATAAAGTTTTCTTTGTTTTGGAATGCAAAATGAATAAAGAAAAATTTTTCCAAATATGAAATCAGTATTGAACTATTTAAAGTTTAAAGTGTAAAAAATGAGTAATTTTGAATTTTTTTTGATTTTGCAGTCTCAGTTGACATATTATAAAGTGGCTTCGAATAATCAACGAAGTGGAAGACGTTTAATATTATTCAGTTATGCATATCGTTATACATTATTCTATTCAATAATGTTACTATTATTATTATATAAATCAATTATATACATAAAATTAATTATCTTTTAATTATCTAAGTGTATCCCCATGACAATTATTCATATACACTTGAATTTTCGACTATTTTTCAATCGCTCTCAATATATTTCATATAAGATAGAGATTACAATATTATTATTTGTATATAATATAAAGTATTTTATTTATTATCTTATACTTTTTTTTATACAAAAATTGTTTTATTGCTCTATTTATATATGTGGAGAATTTTAAACTAGCTAATTAACAAAATTTATCCGCAATTAACGCTGAGGAAAAAAGCGATTAAAAAAAAGTATTTTTATTAAAATACAATCGTATAACAACTTTAAAATACACGTTGTATAATCACATTGTTTCGTGTGAAAACGAGAAAATTTATTATGTACAATTGCATTTATCGACTGGAAGCTTGAAAACGCAAATTTCCAAATAATGGCATTAAGTAAAAATTACAAATACATAGTTTATAATAATTGTAACGGAAATTTGATATTGGGTCGAAAATTATTTTTTCTCGAGTAGGGGAGAGTGGGGCAAAATGGGGTAGGCGGGTCAAATGGGGTACCTCTGTTTTTCCATGATAGGTACTTTTAATTTTTTTATCCTCGACATATATCATTCATGTTGATAAGAAACTGTTATTAATTATGAAGACACTCCAAAAAAAATTTTGTTTTGAAAGTTATACAACTTTAAAGTTTTAAGCAAAAAAAATATGAATGTTTATCGAAATTAAAGTGCTTACAAAACTTTTTGGGATAATGCATTTAATTTGGCAAGTGTGGGATCTTTTTCAGCACTTATTCTAGAGTAATTTCCAATAGAATATATTGTTAAATTGTTTACAATAACTTAGAAACATTGCATTTTGTTTTAATATGCAGTGTGGGGCAGAATGGGGTACCTAAGTGTGGGACATGCCGGAAGCTACGCCGTTTCATTAAAACTATTTAAAAACATTATATTATGTATATTTAAAGGTTTCCTGCAGAAGAAGCGATATTTTTGTTTCGAGACATTTATACTATCGATGTTTCACTATCGATATATCGATATTTTGCAATACCGATGTTTTTTTGTTAAATTCTAATAAATATTACTTGTTTTTTCATAGTAATATAGAATCCTACTTTTTGTTTGTATTTATAATCTCATACAACAAGAATTTAATGAATTTTGAAAAAATATTTCATGTTTTGTTTGCCCCAGGGGTGGGGCAAAATGGGATTTTAGCACTTTCTCAGAAAATACAATATAAGTTCTTTCAAAAATTTTTTTCTCCGCTATTATCATAATTTCCTCAAAGCTAAGTGTACAAAGAACAATTTTGAAGTTTAGCTGAATCGGTTTATTCGTTTGGTTCTCTGTAAACAGCCAATTTCAAAAAGGTACCCCATTTTGCCTCACTCTCCCCTAGTAATCATTTAGGTATCTAGATTAAATTTTTAAAAATTTTAACATTGTTTGCAAAATTGAAACGTTTTTTCTCCTCTTCTTAATTCTTCAAAAGATTATTTTTTTAACTTAAAAATCTTTTTCTGTCTTTAATTTTTTTCCAAAATCGTATTTTTCTAATTGAAAAAAATATAATTTCCCTTTATTCAATTTATTAAAAAAATTAATGCCAAAAAATTTGTCCTTTCGTAATTATTATAAAGAAAAAACTAATTTTTGAAAAAAAATTTCGAATAAGAAGTCGTTCGGAAAATTGTTTTCAAAAAAATGTCTGGGAATAATTTTTTTTTGATAAATTGAAAAAGGGAAAAATATATTTTTTCAATTAGTAAAAACGATATTTTTTATTTTTAAAATTATCTTTAGGTACTGTTTTTAATTTTTAAAAATCGATTTTTTCAAATTAAAAAAAATTATTGAATAAACAAAAAATGAAATATAAATAAATTTTTCAAAACATTGCTCGAGAAAAATCTAATTAACTTGAATAAAATATCAAATTTTCAATTATTAATTTTTGATGTTTAAAATTTTAAATAATGTGTTTTAAATTGTCTTTAATTGTATTTAATTTTTATTTGCAACTATTCTTTGCAAACGTGTGAAATACTCTTCAATTATAAGTGGAATGTAAGTTTCAATTAACGAAACTCACGCAACTATTTACAAGATCACAAAAGTATGATTATTAATGAACTCGATGATAGTTTTCATTCCGTCATTATTATTTTGTTTTTACATTATTACAATAGTCTTACGATTTTCTAATTGCACGTTAAAATTATCGTAGAATTATAAGCATTTCTAATTAGCATCATGAAACAATACTGAATAATATTCGAAGGAATAAATTAAGTCCAATATAGTAATTTAATTAAAAATTGGACGGAGAGATTGTTTTGAATGATGGTCAACACTTTTAGTTTTTTTTTTTTTTTAAAGTCGATAAATATTTCCGTGTTGTAAAAATACGAAATTGGATTATAAATTGTCTTTGACAAAAATGTACTAGGAATGTTATTATTCTTTTTGTTTCCTTTTTAATATTTTCAATTTTTATTTTTTGCTTTTCTACTTTTAGTTTTTCTTCTTAATTTTTGCTTTTATTTTTAATTTTTAATGATTACTTTTATTTTTGCTTTTGGAAAATGAATTTTTCTTTTGAAGGGGCAGTGTGGAAGTAGTTTTCATATTGGCACATATCACAATTGATGAAGTAGCTGACGCATATATTATGGCAATGTTCGGTTAGCTCTAATACATTATCAGGGACAGATGAAATTATTATAATTTTAACAATGCCTACTAATCGTTATAATAGGCAAATAACAGAATTATTAATCGTGCAACATTTACATTTGGTCCAAAGTTCATCGACTCTAATAATATTGACTAATTATTACTACTACATTCGCACACGTTCTCGAAATATATTTTATTCCCTCAAGTAAAATATTTGTTTCCCATAGTTATTTTCACATGACTAGGTGGTTGGTGGTTTAATAACGACACTCGTCGCCAAAAATTTAGTTTGAAAATTAGAAAATGAACCGAAAAAATAATTAATTTCTATTTGTTTCTTCAATTTTTTTCTAATTCTTTTCTTTTCTCTTTTATTTACCTAATTTAGTTTATTTTATTTATTGTTTCAATTTTATTCAATAATTCAAGAAAGAAATTTCGATCAATGAAAAAATTAATTCTATGCAATCAATTTGGAAGAAAATAAAATTTACAAGAATAAAGTACAATTTTGTTTGTAGGTACTTCATTTTTTGATTGAAAATTTTTGGCAACTATTGTCATTGAAAGATCTACCTTTATTTGTATATATTTTAACACTAGAAAGAGTAAATTCACATACCACTTCTAGGGTTAACAACTCCATCATGGAATATGAATAAATTTCAATAAAATCGCATTCTTCACCTTTAATTAATTGTAATTTTTGTTTGCAATTAAAATCTATTGACATTTATTTTACATTTATATATATATATATATTTCGTCCCATTTTCAAGCACACCGAAAATTTATATTATTTCAAAGTGTACATCTCGCTTTTTCAAATCGATCTATCTATTTACGCTTTAAGCACATTATGTAAGTCAGTTTTTATTTCTTTTTTTGTAATTTTTTACTTTTTTTTCATTCACACGACCCATCGCCTCAAATAAATCATCGCGAGAATCGTGACTAGCTGGTTTAAGTGCAAGAGTTTTTTTCTTCTCATTTTATTATATTAAGAAAACTTTTTCTCTGTCAACGATGAGAAAAGTAAATCACAGTAAAAAAATTTATTTACATATAGGGTATTCTCCCCTGCGCTATCGTTTATCGATTTCCATTATAGGAATCAGTTTTAATTAACTCTAATTCTCAATTTTTTTAATTTTTCCCCTTTTTTGTTTCTTTTGTGTTTATTTTCCTTAAAAGCTTTACGCGAGAGGTTGTTAGCTTCTCTTCTTCGGCAAATAAGATTACAATTATATCCCTTCCAAGCGAGTAAATTATATTTCCTCCGTGAATGTCGCTGAAAATATTGCCTGAAAATTAACATTAATCTACTTAATACCGTAAGTGAATTGATTTTATAAAAACTTTTATATTTCTATCAAGTTACATAATTTACTGGGTTGCGAAATAAAATTTTCAGGTAACACTTTGCGTTTAATTGTTAATAAATAAAGGAGAGATAAAATTATGAACCACGAGAAATTTGTAAAATTACAAATTTCGTAATTTTAACTGCAGGGTTGACAGAAAAATTTGTTTTTCCTTTCTCTTTTACTTTTGCCTCATATAACCAGACAGAATTTTGACTTTTTTTGGTCTCAGTAAAAAATACCTAGAGGAGTTCAATTTAAATTAGGAAAAAAATTATTAAAAAATTCAATTATTTTAAGTCAATTTTAAATTGACAATTATTATTAGTCAATTTAAATTATTTAAAACATTTCAATACATTAGGAAATTTAATTATTTTTAGTCGAATTTTTGGAAATTTCAATTATTTAAAAATTTTTTACTAATATTTTCTCGGTTATTTCCAAAAATTTCAGTAAAATTATTAAAGAATTCAATTATTTTTAGTCGAATTCTTAAAAATTTCAATTATTTAAAAAATTTTTAAATTATTTTCCCTCGATGACTAAAAAATTTTTCATTTTTAAATTGAATAAAAAAAATTAAATAAATCTTATCTTAAAAATTACAAATTAATACTGCGTTTAACTAAACTATTTAATAATTATAATCCACATCATCTTTGAAAAAGTTATTCTAGAATTTAATTATTTATAGGTAATTCTGAAAAAATTATGTTTCTGAAAAATTGTAATTTATTTTTTTAAAGACATTTAAATGTAAAAAAAAATTTTATAAAGAATTATTAACCCTTCAACGTTCAAATTTTGTTTTCCATTCAAAATTGATAAAATTTGGTAACTAGGGGTTTTCGGTGTCGCTGATTACGAATCTGATGTTAGATTTTAAAAATTCAAAATGGCGGATCCAATATGGCGGACCGAAAATTTAAAATTTGATGGATTTTCATGAAACTTGGTATCTAGGGGTTCTCGGAGCCTCTGATGACGAATATGATGTCAGAATTTGAAAATTTTAAATGGCAAATCCAATATGGTGGACCGAAATTTTTAAATTTTATAGATTTTTATGAAACTTGGTACCTAATTCGTAATCAGCGACACCGAAAATTCCTTAATACCAACTTTCACAAAAATACATCAAACTTTACAATTTTGAATTTAGAGAATCTGACATCAAATTCGAAATCAGCGTCCCCGAAAATCCGTAGATATCAAGTTACATGAGAATACATCAAACTTTACAATTATGTTCCGCCATATTAGCTTTGCCTTTTTGGATTTTGAAAATCTGACATCAGATTCGTAATCGGCGACCCTGAAAACCCATATCCCAGTAGCACGTAATATTACAGCGATATTGAGAACACTGCCTTAACATTACCAATATTGCCTCAATGTTGTCAATGTTACTGGAACATTACGTGCTGCTGGGGTAGATACCAAGTTTCATAGAAATTCTGAAAATTTTTAATTTTCGGTCAGCTATTATGAATTTTTTAAAATCTGACATCTAATTCGTAATCAGCGACCCCGAAAACCCATGGATACCAAAATTCATGAAAATCCATCAAATTTTAAAATGTCAGTCCGCCATATTGGATCCGCCATTTTGAATTTTTGAAATCTGACATCAGATTCGTAATCAGCGACCCAAAAACCCCTGGCAAGTTTCATAAAAATTCATCAAAATTTAAAATTTCTGTCCACCAAATTGGATCCGACATTTTGAATTTTCCAAATCCGACATCAGATTCGTAATCAGCGACCCTAAAAACTAGTAGGTATCATTTTGCAATTAAGGGGGAGGGTATAGTTTATTCGGCGAAAAAAACGGATTGTTTTTAGAATTTTTTTTTGGTGATACGCAGAAAGTTAATTTATTTTATCGCTTTGCATATAATATTGCAACATTTGATCAATATTTTTCTAAATTTTAATTTAAAAATATTAAGAATTGAGTGAGATAAAGAGATTTTCCTCAGGTCGATTTTCGCTATAAAAAATCGATTAATTTGTTTTTGTAAAATTGGTAATTTTTTTTAAAAAAAGCTCCCGATGTTACCTCAAAAAACATCTCCTTTAACAAATGCACTTTAATTTTTTTGTCTTACATGATACTGTTGCGAGTTAGAGTGTACACCGCAAATCAATTTTATTTGGAGGCGCCTGAGAAAAATCTCATTATCTCGCTCAATTCTTAATATTTTTAAATTAAAATTTAGAAAAATATTGTTTAAATGTTGCAATATTATATGCAAAGCGATAAAATAAATTAACTTTCTGCGTATCGACAAAAAAAAAATTCTAAAAAACATGCGTTTTTTTCACCGAATAGGCTATACCTCCCCCTTAAATATATTAACCCTTCTTGAAGATAGAATTTTTATTTCTTTATGGTACAGCGTATATACTGCTGGACGTTAAAGGGTTAAATTAATTTAAATTTTGTGAAATTGACGTAAAAATAATAATTAAATTTAAAAAAAGTCCTAATTGCATCTAAAATAATAAAATTTTGAAATAGTATTTAAAAAAATTAAATTTTTAACTTTTTTTGAGAAAATTCTTTTTATATTTTAAATTATACTTAAATCTTACACTGAGAGAAAAGAAGGTACACTGCTGTTCATTTGGAGGTTGTGTATTGCAATTCAAATTTGGATCAACTGCGCACTCTAAAGGGGCGCGTTACACGCCCCTTTAGAGTGCGCAGTTGATCCAAATTTGAATTGCAATACACAACCTCCAAATGAACAGCAGTGTACCTTCTTTTCTCTCAGTGTATTAAACTTTTATCTTTTACGTATGGATAAAAAATGATCAATGTGAAATATAAATTTTTCCAAGCTTGTAAAATTAATTATTAAATTGAGCTTTACCAAAATTCGGACTTTATATTTATTTTATTAATTCTTCTCTTTTTCTGTTAATTTTTTTTAATTGTTACACTATATTGAAAAATAAAGCGTTGTAACCATAAATTTGTTTAGAAAAAATTATAGAAATGAAAAAATTTACTTATTTTTAATGCTTCTTCTAGAAGAAAGCAAATTTATTTGCTTATCATAATGAGAAAGATAAATGGTCATGAAATGAACATCTTTATTTAGAGAAGAAGTTAAATTTCTGTCTGGAAATCTGAAAAAGTCAAAGAAAGAAAAAAATAAAATTTTGTGTCAAATCTGTCGAAAAATTCTTTTTTTCTTCAAAATTAGAGTGTAAATGAAAAATATCTCACCTGGAAGAAGTCAAATTAACAACAGTTAATTTGAATTCTTTTGTCTGGATCACGCATCAGAAAAGAGAAATTCGCTCTCGGAGAGAAGAACCTCAAGATCAGAGGGCACAGTATGAAGATCCGATGTCGGCGGTTCGGGAATGCAAGCATTGATTGTTTTATTTGGAGCGTGAATTTGTTTAGCCTGTGTAATTCTAGTTTTATCACGTTTTGTTCTAACCAACACGCCGGTCCTTGGTCCCGCATTTCTCGTTGGTCCATGAACACCAGGAGTTTGTCCCACCTTATCAGCTTTACGTAATTTTACACTAAACTTAAATGGAGGCTTATAGACAACCTGCAATCTCACTCGATCCGTTTTATTATCATTTTTCGCCAATGATCCTAAACTTCGTGATTTTGGATCTGTCAGCCTTCTCAATGTCACATGTTTCACTCGTCCGGGACTTGGCCTCGTCGCAACACCGGTAGGTGTTGTCAGACCAACTGGAGTTGATTTACTCTTCGATAATGCCGATGTTGGCTGATCAACAACACGACATTGCGACGCCAACAACCACGATCGAACTTTACTCTTTGGATCGGCATTGTCAGTGACACCACCAGCACCACCGGCGCCAATTGCGCCAGTTCCATTATTTTCATTTTCAGTTTGCGTTGCCGAATAATCGATCACCTCTTTTTTCTTTCTTTTCTCTTTTTTCTTATTTCCGTTTCCAACGGCAGCACTTTCCATTGGTTGCTTGTCTTTTGTGACCTTCTTTTGCTTCACTTCCGACGCGGTAACTGCCTCGGCCAATCTTTTACGAGCTGGCTCCTCTGTAGTGGCGGGCGCCACCCTCTTCTTCTTGGCCTTTTCGTGACAAGGGTGCAGAAAGAAAGCCCCGTTGGAGAAGGAAGAAGCCATCAAGGTGGTAATGGAAAAAAGAGAACATAACAAAATTATCGCTCAGTTTCACAGAATTATGAGCAAGGAAGGTCTGAGGAGGGGGAAAAGGAATTCTCAATTGTAATTTTACAAACACTATTATTTTTTTCTATAAAAAACTTTGTTTGACAGATGAAAATTATACAGGAGAATTTTTTCTTTATTTATAAAAAATATTAAAAAATTATGATGAACAAATTTTTCAATTTTTCATATTTCTATTTCTCAATAACAATTTGCATTATTTCCATTCCTTAATCACAATTTTTTGAAAAATAATTTTAGTTTTTTTAAAGGAAATAATTTGCATCATTTATATTTCTCAATTACTACAATTTTTTTAAAATATTGCAAGTTTACAAATTCGATTTGTCAATCACAATTTTTTAATTGAAAATAAAATTGAGAATATATCAAGATTTTTATAAAATAAAGGAAAAAAAGTAGCTATAATTTTAATTTATCAATCATATTTTCATGTTAGAAAATTTTTAGTTTCTTATGGAAAACAATTTCTATGAATTCAAATTTTTAATCACAGTTTTTAAAGGAATTATACCTAATGTTTTTTAGAAATTTAATGAGAAAAATTAAAATAATTTCTAATTTATAATCACAATTTTTATATATAATGCCGTTTTTTCTCTTTTTTCCAAAAAATAAATAAATTTGGACCATTTATACTTCTCAATCATAAGTTTTTAACGAAACTTTCAGTTTTTTTAGAAATAAATTAAACAAAATTAGCATAATTTATATTTTTTTAAGCACAATTTTCTTAACAAAATCTTAAATATTTTTAGAAAGAAGATAAAAATTTCTTATAAATTCCATTTGTTAATCACAATTTCTAGTCGAAAATAAAACTAAGAATTTTAAAAGAGTTTTATAAAAAAAAGGAAAAAATTTTTAATAACTTTGATTTGCTAATAATATTTTTTTACAAAATTTTTAGTATTTTTTTGCATAATTTCTACTTCTTTATCACAATTTTTTAACAAAATCCAAGTTTTGTTAAAAAGTTTTGTTTGACTCAAAATTATGGAGGATTTTTTTTATTTATTTCTAAAAAAGAATTAGAAAATTATTTAACAAACTTTCATGTATTTTTTTAAGTTCAAGAATTTGCATAGGGTCATTTGGGGTAAATGTAAACGGAATATCTATTTTTCACCAAAAACATTAGTTTTTTTGTTAAATGGTAAAACGGACGGATTTCTTTTGCATGAACTTGTTACTTTACTTCCCTAGAAAAATTGTATGAGGTACAAAAAATATTGATGTATCTGAATCGCCTAAAACTGACTGTTTACATTTACCCCGAGATTTTGAAATTTATCTAAAATTCGGGGTAAATGTAAACACCACTGAAGTTAAGCGAGGTTTAAGAAACAAGTTATTTCAAGTATACGATACTATACTGTTTTAAGGGATGGAAAAACTGAAAAAAAATTCTTCGTAGATGTATACCCAACGGGAAGTTGCCAATAGTAACGATTGGTTCAATAATGGGCCATGCTTGGTGCCCAATGGTTTTTTCTTGGCAAAACAATTGGCAACCATCATTGGACCACCAATGGTTTAAACTTAGGATGATCACGCTACTGCCAATGATCGGTAGCCAAGCATCGGGCCAATATTAGTTGCCAAGGAATTGCCAAGGAAACAAAATCGATTTTCAAAAGCTTGATTTTTTATTGACAACCAACAAAAAACCAAGGTTTTGAAAATTAATTTTTTCAATTATTAATTTAAATTTATTTTTAAAAACCGCTGCCAAGTTGTACATTTTTATAATTTTGGTGTGCATTTCATGAACACTTTGCTTCCTCATAGAAATAATAATAATTAAAATATAAGAATTACTTTTTATAAAAGTGTTAAAAATCATTAAATCTTGGTCCAAAAAATGTGTTTTTATATATTCTATAAGATGGTAATAATAGTTTAATAATTACACATAAGTTAATAAACAAGAATGTTGAAAAAATGATATTTTCCACAATTTTTGATTTTTCAAATACCAATAATTTTTTTATTTCTGCCCAAATCAGGTTAAAAAATAGGTCAATCGAAGCGTTTTTTAATGCTGTTCAAGTTGATAATAATTTTTTGAAGTTACGTTTACATAATTTAAAAAATTTTTTATAAAAGTCTTATTTTTCAGAATTTTAGATTTTTAAAAGTTTAATATCTCCGGTTAATATGGACGAAAAATGTTCAATTAGGGCTCAAAAGATGCGTCTGAAAAAACTCTACCAAACTCAATACAAAACAAAACTAAACTTCTACATTTTTCAACAAAATTTTCAAAAAAGTCTTATTTTCTAAAATTTTTGATTTTTTAAAGTTTAATATTTCCGGTTAATATGAACAAAAAATGTTCAATTAGGGCTCAAAAGATGCGTGTGAAAAAACTCTACAAAACTAAAGAAAAAAATTTATAAGGGTCCTAATATTTTTTTAAGTTATGTCCAAAAAACGTTTTTTTACAAAATGAAAAATGCAAAAAAAAATTAGTTTAACTTTATGAATCGGGCTGAAAATACTCTCATTTTATGTCCCCCGGGGAGACCTACAATTTAAAAAAAATTGAGGCCTTTAGCTCTTTCTCGTTCTGAGATATTGAGGCAAATGTAATGTTAGTACACACACACACACACACATCGGGACAAATTTTTAAAATCCGTTTTTTGGACTTCAAAGGTCAAAATACGTCGAAATTTTTTTTTATTTATTTAGAACATTTATACGGGGAGTTCCTGTGCATATATAAAGTACTAAAGTATTAGGCATAATAAAAAAAAATTATAAATATGTCAAAAAATGACAATCCAAAATTTTGCTAATACAAAGCTTCCTTTATGAGGAAGCAAAAATATTTTTTTCAAAAATATATTTTTTAAAAAAATATTTTTTTTAATTAATAGAACATATTAATTAAATTTTTCACCTCTGGTAAAACAAAGGTGAAAGACTGATAAAAATTCCCTCACCGTATCTCACAGTGGAGGGATGACTGTGAATGTCTTTGCGAGAGAGGAGCAGGTACTTATAGAGCCAGTGTAACAGGTCACAAGCGAGAAGAAATCACTAGCATGCACTCTGGTGGCGCTTGTCAGAAGTGGCGCAACGTTGGTTGTCAAGCGCTGTGTCGATAATGTCCGGATATGCATGCGCGCCAGAAAACAGTTCCGACAAGCTCAGCCAGAGTGCATGCCAGTGATTTCTTCTCGCTTGTGACCTGTTTCACTGGCTCTATAAGTACCTGCTCCTCTCTCGCAAAGACATTCACAGTCATCCCTCCACTGTGAGATACGGTGAGGGAATTTTTATAAGTCTTTCTTTCACCTTTGTTTTACCAGAGGTGAAAAATTAAATTAATATGTTCTATTAATTTAAAAAAATATATATTTTTTAAAAATATATTTTTTAAAAATAAATTTTAATTAAGGGAAGTGTTCCGGTTGTGGGCACCCTTTTGTTTTTGCCTCATAACATTTGTCCATGTGCATATTATATAAATATATGTGTACGAATTTAAAGCTAGAGGTCTAAGGTGACTGTCAGTGAAGGAATTAAATTGATTCCTTTAAATAAAAAAGTTTTATTAGAAATTTAGTGAAATGGGAATTTTTTGACAAAAAAAAATTTTGTACCCGGTTGTGGGCACCCTTGAAAAATCCGCTAAAAATGGAAAAATATTAAAGGAAACCAACACAAATAAAGAAGAAATGAAAGTTTCTTTATTTTAAGAGAATTTGCTGGGATAAAGAACAAAAATGATGACACGTTTTCACACTATGCTCATCGCTAACAAAAGCATAATGCTTGCATGTGAAGTAGCTAGTACGCATAACATAACGCACTTCTAATGCACTGAACGACTATATTCATCGCATTTAATGGAGTTTGCGGCTGTCACTTTCCTTGGCAGAAAGTTTAGATAGATGAGACATTAGTCCTCATCATTGTCAGATGGTAGAGCCTCCTTAACATAAAGGTGCCCACAACCGGGAATGACAGTCATTTTTTAAAAAGACCAACACATTTTGTGATGCAGGATTTTGGTTAAACACGAAGGTAAATCACAAAATATAATGACAACACTGCAAAAAAAAAAATTAAACCCTTTTTTCTGAACGAATCTACACCCATATGTTGCTCTTCGAAAACAATACAAAATTACTTTTTTATTTATTTAATGCAAATTTTCTTTATTATGCTCACAGCTATTACACAAATGCATATATTTGTTTCGTTATCAATACGAAAAGTCCGTATTGTCAACGAACACGACTTGCAATACTTAGATCAGTAAAGTCTGCTTGCCGTCGAAGTTTACGTAGGGGTGCCCACAACCGGAGGGTGCCCACAACCGGCGCACTTCCCCTAATAATTAAAAAAATCAATTTTCAAAACCTTGGTTTTTTATGGCTGCCAATAAAAAATCAAGCTTTTGAAAATCGATTTTGTTTCCTTGGCAATTCCTTGGCAACTAATATTGGCCCGATGCTTGGCTACCGATCATTGGCAGTAGCGTGATCATCCCAAGTTTAAACCATTGGTGGTCCAATGGTGGTTGCCATTAATGTTCCAATAATGGAACGGAGTTCGCCAAGCATGGCCCATTATTGAACCAATCGTTTACTTCCCATTGGGTAGTAAATCAACCAGTTGAAGTTGACTGATAATGATAAATCGTCCAAGCGCCCATCCTGCCGGAAGGACGTTCCGAAAAAAAGGCTTTTAAAAAAGGGAATTCAACTTTTCTTTTCTGGCACTCTTTGGGGTTAAAGTAGACGAAAAGACGAAAAAATACATATTTTTGACTTTTTAAAATAATAATATTAAACCATTTTTCAAAGCCTTCAAACTTGCTATGTTTTTAAACAGTGAAAAAAACATTTTTTCGTAAATTTAATGTAAAATCCCCAAAAATCAATATTTTTTGACCGGACAAGTCTGTTTCTCTTCAGAAACGTTCAAAGAATTAAACCTTATTTTTTAATTAAAAAAAATTCATTTTTAATATTTTTCAGTTTATTTGAGTATAGACTCAGGCGCGAGTCCCTTAGAAATTGCTCTATAAAATTAATATGGAAGCAGATAAATATAAAACTAAATATATCGTTGGAAAGGTAATGAAACAAGCTTTCAAATGATGTAAATATCGAGTCTTTAAATTTATAAACCTGGGCTAGGTAGTCTCTTAAATAAAGCGAAAAGCGTCCTGCCGGCAGGACCGGGCTTCGTCATTCTGTGACTAAAAATTATGTGAATTTTTGGAACATGTAACTTCTTCAAACTACCCAGCCCTTAGTTTTGAACTTACAAGCTCGATATTTATACGCGCTGAAAGCTTGTTTCATTACCTTTCCAATGATATATATCATTTTTTATTTATCTGAATCCATGTTAGTTTTCTTTAGTGATTTCGGAGGGACTCACCTGAGTCTTTTTCGCCCTGCCGGAAGGACGTTGGACGATCTATCAATAATGTATCATATAAAATAAACAATTAACCATTGCAAAACTAGTAATGTAAAAACTTGAATAACTTGAACAAATCTTAATATATTTTTATTCATCTTGGTAAAAAGAAGTTTTTAAGGTTGCTGAATAAGAATCTAAAATCCAATTTTTAAATTTCAAAATGGTGGATCCAATATGGCGGTCAAACATAAACTATGATTAACTGACTAACACGAAGGAGGTATGAAAGAAGACCTAATTTCCTTTTCTATGTAATTTTACATTGCCAAAGTAATAAAATTGTGAAATAGAAGCAAATTTATTCAATTATTTTCTTTTAAAATGTAGTTCAAGTTCTGTTTACATTTACCCCGAGTTTTAGAATTCTCGGGGTAAATGTAAACACTTAATTATTTATTAGGGGAGACTGGGTGCGGTTGTTACGCTGTGCAGTTGTTACAAATGGAATATCTCAGAAACAGTTAGTTATAGAGATGGGGTTCCAAAGAGAAAAATGTTTATTAATTGAAAAGAAAATTCCCTTCCGAATGTGTAATTTGGTGAAGATAAATTCGATTAATAGGAAGGTATCAAACATAAAAAGGCTTATGTTATATTTAAAGTTGCGACGTTTCGATGTTGTGGTTTACCATCCTCTTCAGGCTGAAAATATTACAATTTAGAATACATTGCAACTAGTCAAGATTAAAAATTAATATAAACATAAAATTGAATAAATAATTAAAACGTAAAGGTAAAACGGACAAGCACACGACGAATGCTGTCATTTCGATACGACATAAGCCTTTTTTATGTTTGATACCTTCCTATTGATCGAATTTATCTTCACCAGAAAAATGTTTAGTTTTTATGTACGAACTTACTGCAATATGTTTTTTAAAATTATATGCAAGCTTTACAAGTAAAAAATATGCACATTGGTTTTTAGAGGCCAAAAGTCAATATTTCTCTGTCAGATATTTTTTAAATAATTAATAGACCTTTATAATTAACAAAGTAAATTTTTTTAATATCAATTCTATGAGGATTAAGCTTTAAAAAACTGCCTTGGTTGTCCACATTTAGTGTATACTTTTTTAATAAAGTGATTTATTGTAAAAAATGTACCTGTTGCGCAGTTGTTACAAGTGATGATAACAACGGATATTTTTCCCAAAATTCAGCAGATTCGTTTGAAATGTAAAGTATTTGTTAAAAATGAAATCACACTCATTTTTTATGAAAAATCTCATGGTTTTTCTAAATTCGTCTTCAAAATTAATGAAAAAAAAAATTTTTTAAGTTTCTTTCATTTCGAAACAATATTAATGCTGTCATCTCTATGGAACTGTCACGTACTATTACGTTGAGTCAAAAATTATGAATAATAATTAATTAAAGTTATAAGAAATTATTTGTCTTGAATTTAGAAATGTAATAGATGATTTTTGGTATTGTAACAACCGACATTCTAAATTGACGAAAATCAAAAATTAAAATAAATTTTTGTTAGGGCATTAATAAGGAAGAATTACAATTTTTAGTTTGGTTTTTTTTATTTATTTTTATGCAAATACGAGACAAAATACTGAAAGAGTAAAACTTTGATTTTCAATCTTTTTTGCATTAAAAGATAACTTACACTATGGCATTGCCAATTGTCAAAATAAAATATTGACAATACTCAGAACATCTTGTAGGTGAGCTGAGGTAAAAATATTGACGTCGTACTTATTTTTAAATTTGTAAATTTAGCTGAAACCGAGGGGGTAATTACTGGTTAAAATGGTGGACACTCTAATACACTAAATTTTCCTGCTATTACGCGTATTATCTAGTATTATAGGGTATTGCATAACTATTACAGGGTATTACTGATTATTACAGAATATTACCTCTATATTATGTGGTATTACACTGACGTAATAATGCTCTATTACACTCTATTACGTGACTATTACGGGAGGAGCGTACACGCTAATAGCTAATACACAAGTAGATACCCCCTCGGCTGAAACATTTACTGTTTACATTTACCCCTTGTTTACATTTACCCCAATTGACCCTACCTAATTTCTTATTTTTTAATCACGATTTCAAAAAATATTTTGATTTTTTATAAATAAATGAAAAAAATAGCATAATTTTCATTTAATAATCTTAATATTCGTTTTCCGACGTTAATTAATTGTTAATGTTAATTAATTTATTCTTTAATTGGTTTTTAAAATTTTATGATAAAAATAAATTATAAACAAAAATTTTAGTTTTAATTAATTGTATTATTTTAATAATTTATTCTAATTGGAAAACTATTTTATTTGCAAATTTTACAATTATTTTTGTTTTTTTAAATTCAATTTTCAAGAGATTTTCAAATTTAAAAGTTTTTTTATTTCATTAATGAAATAAAAATTTGTTGTTCTACATACATAAATGTAAATAAATACAGAAATTTGAAAAAATAAAAAAAAACACAAAAAGAGGAGAAAATTCTTAATTGTTTTTCATTTCTATTATATAAATCATGAAAAATATAATTTGTAATTTTCCAAGAATTTCATAAAAAAATATAATTTCCAAATTATTTTAAATCCTGAATTATGTCAGAAAATAAATTGGCATTTTTGGTGGGTTGAAACGACGCCTTCTAAAATTTATTACATTTCATTAAAAATTCTCTTTGACGGAAGAAACTTTCAAAGAAGAAAATTAAGAATAATATTTTCTTGTCAAAAAAATTAATTTCTCGGCATTTCTGAATAAAAGTTTCGAGAATCATTTTCTCAAGATATTCAAATTTATGTAAAATACTTTTTCTTAAAAAAAGAGTTTTTTTTATTGAAATATTAAACGAGTAGAATTTATTTTTTCTTCTCTTCATTTTTGTCAGATCACAATTTGAATAATTGCAAGTATTAAATAGTTTTTGAAAGGAGAAATTGGAGAACTTTTTGACAGGAATGGGTTATAGTCTAAAATGATTTACAGGTATCATTTTCATTTGGAAGCGTGCAAAAGTTTACCTTTGAAGACTTTTCGTTTGCGGTATTTGCGGATGGGTTGGCATCCTTATGCTTTCGACGATGTCTCTTTTCCCTCACCTTTCTGCTCAGAGGTAGTTTCGCACGAACCGCTGGCGGATGTACAGTTACTCCCTCCGTTCCTTCCGGTGGAAGTCGTACAGTCTCCGTCGTTGAACTGTGGATTATTGTAATCGATTTCAGTTTTTGGTCCGGACGTTTTCCCAATAATCTCGTGCTCGCCACCTGCACATAAATAAATTGCTTCTTATGTATAAAGATTACATCTTTACTTAGCGCATATTTTACTAGCGACTAATCACAGATTTTTTTATTCTTTTTTCACTGTTTTTAATCGACAGTATATTGGAATTTTAATTAAAATTTTTACTGAAAAAATTGAAATTAGAACACAATTTTATATTTAAAAAAATTAGGACACAATTTTTTTATTGAAAAGAAATTAAATTATCTACAATTTTTTATTGATGAAAAACTAAATTAAAAAATTTTGGCTCAAATAAAGCTGAATGCAGAAGGGATTCATTTAAATAAAAAGTAAATAAAATTATAATCGAGGAGAAAATATTTTCATATTGGAGAATCTTCGAAACAAATTAAGATCTGCGTCAGAATTCCTGAAAGAAGCCACCCAAAACCTTTTAATTTTCTTTTTCGTAGTAATGTGGTTATTTTAATAGTATTTTATATAAGAAATCATAATACCAAAGGATTTTGCAAAAAAAAATTTTTTATTAATGTTATTAACTATTAAAAATTTTGAACGTATTTAATTAAAAAATTAATTTCTCAAAAACTTATTGATCGATTTTAATGTTTCAAGTTGCATTTTCTTTGTCTTGAAATGAAGTATAACTGACATTATTTTCAAACAAAAATATATAATTTTAGTGAAAAAAGCAATTGTTTATTTATAAACAATTAAAAATAAATAGTGTTCTGGATGATTTTTTAAGTTGAGAAAATTACTAAAATGTTCTTTATAAACCAGTGAAAAATATCCCGTTGAAAAAAAATGGCACGAAGTTTCAAATTGTTTAAACTTAAGGGCATGTCCAAGTTGTGAAATGTAAACAAACCAAAAGGTAAACAAACCAAGCACTAAAATCGCACTTTTGTAATAGCCATTTCTCCCACAAAAATTAATATTTTTTCACATTCTTTACAAAAATGGAAAATTAGAGTTTCAAAGTGTCCAAAAAAATCATTTTTGGCTATGAGCAATAAAAGGCAATTAGTAAAATAACTAATTAAAATTACCTGTAAAATAGCATTTTTGACGCGTCGCGAAAAATAAACTGTTTGAGTATATCAACCGCACGGATGATGAAGAAGTTCCATGTCAGCGATTGGACCTTCAACATGTGGAAGGGGAAATTTTTTCCTTTCCTCCTGGAAATTACAAGAGAAAGGGTAAAATCTTCTTCATCGTCCGTGCGGTTGATATAGTCAAACACTTTAGTTTTTCGCAACGAGAACTCTGTTGCTCTCTGCGCGTGCGCAGACCGTACTAAGAATGCATTGACAGCACCATGCAGAAGTGCACATTTTGTTTTGAATGAAACTTAGTTATTTTCTCATTTTTTTTAGTTATGCTAGGTATAGTTACCAAATTCAATACTTTAGTTTACCATTTCCATAAAGAAAATGTGAATTTATGTTTATTTATGCATATGAGATGGTCGAAAAAATGCTTCACTATAGACCGAATAGAGAAGCATTTTTTCGACCATCTCATTTGTATAAATAAATATAAATTCATATTTTCTTTATGGAAATGGTTAACTAAAGTATTGAGTTTGGTAACTATACCTAGCATAGCTTAAAGCATGAGAAAACAACAAAGTTATAGTCGAAAACAAAATGTGCATTTTCGCATGGTGATATCATTGCGACCTTGATACAGCCTGCGCACGCGCAGCGAGCAACAGAGTACACGTCGCGAAAAATTAAAGTGTTTGACTATATCAACCGCACGGACGATGAAAAAGTTTTTACCCTTTCTCTTGTAATTTCAAGGAGGAAAGGGAAAAATTTCCCTTTCCACATGTTGAAGGTCCAATCGCTGACATGAGACTTCTTCATCGTCAGTGCGGTTGATATACTCAAGCAGTTTATTTTTCGCGACGCGTCAAAAATGCTATTTTACAGGTAATTTTAATTAGTTAATTTACTAATTGCTTTTTATTTCTTATAGTCAAAAATGATTTTATTGGACACTTTGACACTCTAATTTTCCATTTTTGTAAAGAATGTGAAAAAATATTAATTTTTGTAAGAGAAACGTCTGTTACAAAAGTGCGATTTTAGTGCTTGGTTTGTTTACCTTTTGGTTTGTTTACATTTTACACCTTGGACATGCCCTTAAGCATTTGTACCGCGGTGCAGGGCGCGACTCTGGTCCTTATTGAGCGTACCACGCGCGTGTTATCGTTCCTGCTTGCTGTATAAGGACTGCGCTTCTTAAACACTTCATTTATTTAAATAATTTTTTAATTAATTTTTTTTAATGGAATATTTAATTTATTCTTCTTATTGATTGGTAAATATAGATGTTTTACGTAGTTTGTTAAAATTTTTCATTAAAGAGCAAGTTTTCAAAATCTGATAATCAATTTAAAAAAAAATGTAAATAAACTTGAAGTTAATATTTTGAGAACCTCACAAATCAACATGACACTTTTAAATTTATGAAAATAATTTACTAAAAACGAATTTTTAATTTAAATACTTTTTAAAATAACCAAGAAGAATTATAATTTTTATGTTTTTTGATAGAAAAATCACCATAACCTTTAAATCACTTAATAATTTGGTAAAGATTCATTCCAAACAGAACACCTTACATTTAAGAACATTATAATAAAAATAAATTATTAAAAATTTTGTATTTTAAAATTAACTGTAGGCAGTGGTTATGAGGAAAGCTATTTGTTTCAATTTCTCTGAATAAGAAAATATGGATTATTATTACTACACATTTACGGTACAAGTATTTTCCACTAAAAAATTACAGTAATACCGGTACAATTTTGGTTTTTATTGTTTATTATTTTGAGACATTTACAATAAATTAATATGAGGACAAGAATTAAAATTCAAATTGGATTTAAATATTTTTTAAAACTATTCTTTAGAAAAAGTTATTAGTATACGGGTATGAAAAATTTTAATGTTACTTATTTCTATGTTTTCCAGAAAAAATATTTTTGATCGGTTTATATTTATTTAAAAATACCAGGACCAAACGTGTGCTTTAATTCCTACAAGAAAATAAATCGTAAGTGAGTATAGAAGAATATAAAATTAATTTCAATTCTCATTAATTTAATTGTAAATTTTTCAATTAAATAAACAATAAAAATTAAACATTTGGATAAAAATGGTAAAATCAGTGTTTTAGAAGCAGAGTTCTTATACTATGAGAAAATACGAACGTGTTTCTCATGTCACGTGCGCGGTACGCTCAATAAGGACCAGAGTCGCGCCCTGCACCGTGGTACAAATGCTTAAGTTTAAACAATTTAAAACTTCGTGCCATTTCTTTTTTCAACGGGATATTTTTCACTGGTTATAAAGAACATTTTAGTAATTTTTTCAACTTAAAAAATCATCCAGAACACTATTTATTTTTAATTGTTTATAAATAAACAATTGCTTTTTTCACTAAAATTAAATATTTTTATTTGAAAATAATGTCAGTTATACTTCATTTCAAGACAAATAAAATCACAGTGAGAAATTGCCAATAGACTTTAATCGGTCCAATATTGGTTGCCGTGCTGGGCGCCGATTGACTCCCAATATTGGACCAATATGGGCTGATGCTTGGGATGTAACGGGTTCGCCAAGCATCGGTTGTTAATATTGGTCCAATATTGGCCGAAAATTGGCAACCAAGAGAAAAAATTTTTTCAAATAAATTTTTTTAATTAAATAATAATAATAAAAAATTAATGTTTATAATTTTTGTTTAATATATTTATTTGTTTAATTATTTATTTTTAATAATTCATGTAAATAATAAATAATATATTATTTATAAATTATAATTATTTAAAAATGCAGCAACTATTAGGAAATAATCGAAATAGCATTCTGCAAAAAAATTCTATCATTGAAAAATCAATGATAGGCGAGAGATATCTGCGTCATTAAATAGATTCGCAGATGATAGGCAAGAGATATCCGCGTCATTAAACAAATTCGCCGATATACTCTGGTCTCGCGACGAATCTCTCGATACTTATATACACTGGAGTCGCCGTGTCAGTTGCGAGAACGGTTACAGCGTCCCTCTTGCGGCAGAGATAAGAATTGTCACGTAAACTGCTAAATCGCTTTACCGACGGCCTTATTATACCCGCAGTTTACGTGACAATTCTTATCTCTGCCGAAAGAGGAACGCTGTAACCGTTCTCGCAACTGACACGGCGACTCCAGTGTATATAAGTATCCAGAGATTCGTCGCGAGACCAGAGTATATCTGCGAATCTGTTTAATGACGCGGATATCTCTTGCGGCCTATCATCTGCGAATCTATTTAATGACGCGGATATCTCTCGCCTATCATTGATTTTTCAATGATAGAATTTTTTTGCAGAATGCTATTTCGATTATTTCCTAATAGTTGCTGCATTTTTAAATAATTATAATTTATAAATAATATATTATTTATTATTTACATGAATTATTAAAAATAAATAATTAAACAAATAAATATATTAAACAAAAATTATAAACATTAATTTTTTATTATTATTTAATTAAAAAAATTTATTTAAAAAAAAAATTTTCTCTTGGTTGCCAATATTCGGCCAATATTGGACCAATATTAACAACCGATGCTTGGCGAACCCGTTACATCCCAAGCATCAGCCCATATTGGTCCAATATTGGGAGCCTTTATTGGACCGATGATTGGTCTCTTGGCTCCCAATATTGGACCGATATTGGACTGGTAAGAAATTTCTCACTGGGATGCAACTTGAAACATTAAAATCGATGAATAAGTTTATGAGAAATTAATTTTTTAATTAAATATGTTGAAAATTTTCAATAGTTAATAACATTAACAAATTTTTTTTTTGCAAAATCCTTTGGTAGTAGGATTTCTTATATAAAATACTATTAAAATAACCACATTACTACGAAAAAGAAAATTAAAAGATTTTGGGTGGCTCCTTTCAGGAATTCTGATTCATCTATTAACTCCTCGATTATTACAAATTACCGAAATTTAATGTTCAAACTGCCTAGCATACTACCTAAATAGAACAATTTTCTATTTTTACAATTTTCTTCTAGAATTTTGTGCTCGAACTTAGCAAAAACAACCTTTAATTTAAACTTACAATTTCTACAATCAACTTTCTTCTTCTTCTTCCTCATTCGACTCTTTAAAGAAACGAGTAACGAAAAATAACAGAGATATTAAAATGAGAAAAATTGGAAATTTAATTAAATTAAAATTTTTCTTTTAAAATTTACAATTATTACAAGTTTAAAATTTTATTTTACTTCTTTAGTTACGTAGAATATTGATTGAATGGCTTTAAGGGAGTTGTTTACTTGAAAAGTAAAACTTATGGAATTTGTCGACTAATTGTCAAAAAATATAGAGAAAGAGAAAAAACAGAGATTTATTTCTATGGGGTGGAAAAGTTAAAAAGTTTTGTAATATATGTACCAATAGAGAAATGACTCCCAGGACTATTAGGGCCACAGCATACCAGTGTTCGGCCATCCATCGTTTGAAAGTAGCCAGACTTTCGTCCGATAGTAAAAGTTTTCTTAATGTTGCTAAAGGTCCACTGGGATCCACCTACGCAGAAAATTTTCAACAACATTAAAAAAAGTAACCATATTTTCATTTCTCAAAATTATTACACACATAATTTTTAATTGTTGTTTATTATTATTACTTCTTGGTAAAAAGTTTTGTAATCCATTAATCAAATCGAAAATTAATTGCCCTAAATACATGTAAATAAATAAATGTATAAAGAAATAATAAAATTATTAATTATAGAACTTTGATCAATTTTAATACAAAATTTTTTTAAAAAATTACAGAAATAATAGAAATGACTTACAATTTTGTAAATTGAAACTAATTTTTTTCGGAAAATTTTCTAGGAAAATATACAATTCTATGCTAATTGAAAAATTATTTTATTTTGAAATTTTATAATTATTTTTGTTTTATCGAATTAAATTTAAAAAAATTTTAAAATTAAAAAGTTTTTTATTACGATTGAAAATAAAAATTTTTTTGTTCAAAATACAAGTAAGCAAAATATATATTACTAGTCTTTGCGCGCGAAACGCGCAATTTGAAATTTCTTTTACTTTCAAATATCAACTTCAATTTTTAAATGATTTCAGATTCAAAAATTAAAAAAATTTACTTTCCCAGTAATAAGGGGTGAATTAAAGTGGATTGGTACTTTTATGCCCTTAAATTCCGTTTTTGTCCGAAATCTTAATGAATTCCTTTTCTATTGTTAAGTTGATAATTTCTATCTAATTCAATTCTCTGTAACCACGTGATTAGAGTCTTAATTCACTTTAATGCCGTTTAACGGAATCATTTGTTGTGGAGTTAATGCCTTTTAATTAACATTGAATTCATTAAAGGGGTTTCAAATTCTGATCACGTGGTTACAGAGAATTGAATTGGATAGAAATGATCAATTTAACAATAGAAAAGGAATTCATTAAGATTGCGGACAAAAACGGAATTGGTTTCGAATTTAAGAGCATAAAAGTGCCATTCCACTGTAATTCACCCCTTATTACTGGGTAATTATCAATTTGCAGGAATTTAATTATCTTTAATATAATTTTAATGAAATTTTGTGAAAGAATTCAATTATTTTTTAAAATTTTAATAAAATCCGTTGTAAGAAATTTTGAAAAATTGTTTATACACAATAATTTAATTATTTTTAAACATTTTAATAAAATCTCTTAAAATAATTCAATTATTTCCAAAACTTTTCATAAAATTCATGGCAATAATTATTGCATTATTTTCATGAAATTTTGAAATATTGATTATATCAGTTCAATAATTTTTAAACATTTTAATAAAATTCGTTAAAAGAATTCAATTATTTTTAAAAATTTTGATAAAATTCTTTAAAAGAATTCAATTATTTTTAATAATTTTGATAAAATTCTTTAGAGGAATTCAATTACTTTCACCTTTCAGTACAAATTTAATTGAATTTTTAGAAAGAATTGATTTATATTTTATAAAGTTTGTAATAAATAAAAATTAGTTTTTTTTACAATTATTTATTAGTAACTATTTTTGTTTTAGAATAATGTTATATTATTAATAATGCCTACAACAAATTAAATTAAACAAAGAATGATACATCGATTAAAAAGAAAATAAAAACAAAAGAATAATTTTTAGACTTTACCTTTATATTTCGTAGATATTATTTTGTAGATTATTCAACATTTAACATTGCTTTAACTTCAATTAAGAGGCACTTTTATTTGATCTTTACTTTGAACAGACTGACGATTTTATTTTGATACAGTGTCAACGTGACTGTCAGTGCCGTACTAAGTTTTCATTTAACGTAAAATAAGAAAGAATATTAAATTTGAATTTTGAATGTTAATTGAAAAATAATTAAACCTTAACAAGAGGTAAAAAAGAGAAGTGGATATTGAGATGTTAGGTTGCTTGAAATGAGAGAAAGGAGAAAGAGACAGTGGAAAATATTGAGTGATAAGGTAGATTTCTGGAATGGCTGAGTCTGATTCAAGGAGTGTTCCAGAGAGTGAGAAAAAGGCGTGAATATTTAAAAAAAAGAATAGGGAATAATGGAAAGATTATGACGTGTGAAGTCTGCATGGATTTGATGGAGCTAGTGGAAATGTCAACTGAGGCAATGGAAGAGCGTTTTGTGAGAGTGAAAAAGAATTTTGTAACGGTTTGTAAAGCAGGAGATGAGAGGGGTAAAGGGATTGATGAATTAGATGAGGAAATGAAAAAGATGCAGGAAAAGTGGAAAAAGTGGGCGAGTGAGTTGGAAGGTATGAGACAAAAAAGAGTGCATTAATTGGAAAAATATATAATACAGAAGAGGAAAGAGGATAAAAAATGGAGGTTTTTTAGAGGGGGTAAAAATGAATAGTGAGGAGAGTGAAAGTGTATATTATGAACGAAAGGTTTGGCCTAATAATTTAAAGCCATTTATACTCCAAATTACTTAAGTAATCGGAGTAGAAGAAGAAGAACGAAAGGTGAATGAGTTGGAAAGAAGAGTGGAATGGATGGAAAATGATAAAATAAAAAGGAATATAGAGATTAGGGGTATGAATGCAGGATTAAGGGAAGGACTGGCTGAAGGGTTAGGGATGAAAGTTAATATTAGGCACATGAAAGCGATGAGTGTGGATACGAATAGGATTCCGAGGATATGGTTAGTGGAACTGGGAAGTAAGAAGGATAAAGAGGAAGTTATGAGGTTAAAAGGATGTGTTGAGAGAATAGATGAGAACAGAACGTGGAGAGAGAGAAGTCAGGGTGGCCACTTTTTGTAGAAAATTGAATTTCCGCTTTTTTCCCGGCCAATTTTTTTTATTTCCCGGTCATTATATAATAGATTGAAACAATATTTTAGTTTTGAAAAATTTAATTTATTTTTTAAAATTGTTTAACACTTAAATAAAACAAAAAAGTTTTAAATTTTTTAAACCTTACATCTTTGGTCAGTTGAATCTTAACTTTAAAAATAATTTATAATTATTTAACAATAATAGTCGTAAATAGTTATGGCAACCAGATTATTTTTTTTTAATAAGGAGAATATTTAATTCATCTTGAATTAGCGATGCTTGCTCTGTAGCATTTTGAAGAAGTTTTCGTTCTTTTTCTTGTAGTTTCCTAATACTCTTCAATTTTCTTTTCCTCTCTTCATTTTCCTTTGTTTTTTGTTCAGACATATTTTGCTTCGATTTATTCAATTCCATCCAACGAGAGTGCGCGTTACGGACTGCAAGAATCAAATTTTTGTTTATGGACACTGAATTAACTCCTCCGGCAGCTTTTATACTATCGTAGACCATTCTTAAGCCAATTAAGCTTTCTTCTTTCTGGTTTTCAACTAAGCATTCTTCGTTGATAGAAAATCCCCTTTCTAGGGTAGCGTTGCCGTGTGAAAGAATCAAAATCATTTTTACGAATGCTAATAAATTTTTATTCGACATTCCAGAGTCCGATATGATTTTAAACCAAAACTCATCTAATCGAACAGTTTTTCGATCGAAAGTTTTCATAGCTTCAGTACATTTCGGTAGCTTACAAATACCTTTAAATTCTATTTTAATGTGATCAGCTACAGAACCAGCTATCCATTTATTTTCTACGCTCAGAATATCTAAGCATGACGACAATCGTTTTTTAGCTATTGCAGGATTCTCTAAAATTAACAAAGGATCGAGACACGATACTGCTTTGGTTAATTTGTATTTAATTGGACTGCGATCCATAATTTTTTTAACCATTTTAATATAACACTAGCGACATATCCTCACTCGCTAACGCTCGCTCGGTTGTATTTATAATTATTTGTTTTTTTTATTTGAGATAAGTAAATGTTTACTGAACATAAATATTTTATTTTATAGCATTAAATAAATAGTTATTTGTACCAAATATTAATTACTTAAGTAAAAATATGCAATAATTAAATATAATATTACTTACTATTAAATATAATAATCAATAATTCATTCATTCTGTTTGTCCACATCTGAAGTTTGACTTTTGCGTATGGTTTTGTTTTTTTTCTTTAGAAAATATTGTTTGACAAATAGAAAATATGCAGGTATTTTTTATGATTTATAATAAAATAATATTTGAAATTTGAAAATTAAAATTTTTTTTAAAAGTTATGATTAACAAATAAACTTTGTTTTTTATACGCTTTTTATAAGAAACTTCGTTTGACTGATCTAAATTATATAAATTTGTATGCTTTTTATTTATAAAAACACGGAGAGAAGAAAGTAGTCAATCTTACTCAGCCCTGAGTCATAGTTACTAAACAATATGGTGACTTTTTCGTTTAACAAAACAAAAAGTAAACTTCACTAAACGGCCGTTTAGTTATTAAGACTACTAACTTCATTAGTATCGTCTACAATATAAATAGTCATATCTGCAATTCTGTTTACAATTTACCAAAATAAAATTTAACCTCTTATATAATAATTAATATAATAGTTAACACTTTATAAATAATTAATTATTTAGAAATAATTATTATTAATTAATTATTTTTTCAAAAATTTATTATATATGGGGAACGAGAAGAAAATCAAGTAATATTTTACAAAAATACACTGACGGTGATATAAGGTAACAATAATAAACCAATTTAAAAATTATAATTTCTGTAATTGTTTAGTTAAATAGAGAAAATTATAAGAGCTATATTTCTTTACAAAATATATTTGTCGCATATTTAAATAAACAGCTAAACTTTTTTTTATAATTATTATGATAACAATAACCTAATATTTGTTGTAATAACAAGCATAAATATTAAGTATAACACTGCAAATAAAGTTTTAAAAAATAATATTTTTTCTCGATTTCGTTTAATTTTTAATAGGTAGCTTTTTAATGAATTTTAATATTTTTTTTAAAGTTTAACTAATAATATGATTAAAAATGTAAACAGAATTAGTTTTGTCTGCTTTACTAAGCAGACATTCATCCTTACTACTATGTTTAGTTTGATCGACAAAAAAAAATTGAACGCTGTTTTGTAACCTTTACTTAATATTTATTTG